GAGCCAAAGATGTTAGAATTGTGTCGATGTCCCAATATTTCTGGACCTGACTGTATTTCTCAAATCATAGGATAAAACTAATTCAATTAGAGATTTAAGAAGTCAGCTTGAAAGGTAGGAAAGTTTAGTATATATTGTGGATTTTGAGATTATTGCTTATGCATGGGAAGCAATTTGTATTTTGTATTTATTGCTTCTGAAATGGCAAAGGATTTAAATAATAATTTTAGGCATGCACCTTGTTGCATTATGGACAAAATTTATCAGGTCACTAAGAGTCAACACTGATTTGATGGCACATAATCAGTCACTTGGTAACAATTGCAGATACGTTTTCAAGTAAAATGCAAAGCTGTTGCTTTCATAGGAATGGAGTATGAACACACTGAACAATACTGCAGTAGCATTCTAACTAAAAGTATTCATGGTCTTCATTAAATAGTTACAAGATTACATTTTGTCAGTGTTTCGCAGCAGTGTAAGTGAAATGCTGTTTGTTATTACTGTAGGACAAAGTTGCACTATTTCCACTAGACTTTTCATGTTTCCAAGGGGGATAGGGCCAGGGCATATTTTGGAAGGAAGTGTAAGAGTTACCAGAGGTGAAATGGCTATCTTAGCATATTTCCTTGAAGTTCCCCATCCCCAGTCCTCAAACACAAAGAAAATCCCATATTTATAGCCTCACTCAAATGGGGGGAGGGGGAGGGAGCAACAAAAGGAAGGTAGGGAACTGCAATTTTTGCATTGCTGTCATAATAATTTTATACTGACCTCATTCTCTTCTCCACATTTTTAAAGGAAATCCTCCATAATTTTCCATTTTTTTTTATTTTAATAAGTTTAATGGAATACTTCCAATGTTTTATAACCCTGATGTTTTAATATAACCTACTGTAACATAATATTTTATAACTAAATTATTTGTTTTCTTTTACCAGTTAACAAATATTTAAGCTCTGAAAATCCACTGTTCTTTGAATTACGTGCCAGATACCTTATTGCCTGTGAACGCATCCCAGAGGCAATGGCTCTTATCAAATCTTGCATGAATCATCCTAATATTAGCAAAGACCTTTACTTCCATCAAGCATTTTTCATGTGTCTTTACATGTCTCCACTGGAAGATCACCTATTCCAAGAGGTACAGTTGTCATATTTAATGCAATTTTATGATATGTCTTGATTAGGGATAGTATTTTATTTATATTCAGCAAAATAAACCATTTTTTTAAAATCACATTCCTGCATTACAACCCTGTACAGATTAATCGCAACTCTGTATATATTATTTTTTGGATACTGGACAACTACATCCTAATATTAGCTATAGCATTAACCCTGCTCTAAGACTGCCAGGTAACAAGTAGTCATGGAAAGCAGGTGTAACATTAACTATTTCAACCAAGTTAATAAAAAGCTGAATGTGCTATATATAAATTCTTGCTATCGTAAATATTTTTCTTCCCCCCCCCCCTTGTGCCATTGGCTTTCTATATTGGTAATAGAACTAGTAGTAGGAGCTAGGAATTCCAGTTAAGTAAAGGTTTGGCCTCTTTCTTACTACACTTGCCTGAATTATCTCATTTTTGTTGCATAGCATTTGCTGAGGACTGACTGCAAGAATGGCATTGAAATCATCTGCAACATTGCAAAAGAAGGGAAGATTGCCTTAGCATTGAATCTTTGTGAATTGTTTCTTATTCCACAGCTCAAAAAAGGGGATATGTATTGCATCTGGTAAATTTTATCTCTCAATAATACTACTTTGCACTAATGTTATAATATAAGGAAATTACAGATACATATTTACAAAGGAGTGGTCAAAGCCTAGTTAATTATTAAGAATAAATAGTGCTGCAGTGCAATTTCATTGACTGTAAAATCCATCCATTCGACATATTAGTGAAAACTAGGTATTGGATATTTTTGTATTGTTGTAAACTATTTAAAAATAATGGGTTATTTATCTTACTGATTCACTTCTTAATTGGCAAGTAGAAGGCAACTGAAGGTTTTTTTCCCCCCTAAGTTGAATTCTTAGTTTGTGGTTAGTGCCTTCATGATATTTGATCAAAATTTCATTTATTTATAACATCTATATCTTACATTTTATTTGTTAAAATAATTCCAAAATGTAGAATCATCTAGGAAAGTACACCTCTGCCTTATATTTAAGCTTACTACTCTAGAAATGTCACATAGAGTGGCAATGGCTCTAGAGATACATAGTTTTCCTATTACATTTGAAGATGCTGGAAATTGAACCTGAGGTCTCCAGATAAACTAGGCTCCACCACTTAGTTATGACTTCTCTCAAATAGCTTTTTGAATAACACATTTATATTGAGAATGTTACATACTTCCATATGTAGAATTTGCATACAATACAATTTTGTTTTAATAAACTAGTTGGAGGGGGGGTGTCTGTTTTTAATAAGTGCCCATTGAATTGGAGAGTGCATTCCAAAGCTGATTTGCATAATTTATGTAATGATATTATGCAAATTACACAAATTATGTCATTATTTTTATAACACTCAATTATATTTACCATAGATTCTAACAGCATGATTCAGTCTATTATATAAATACCATATGCTTGTGAATATATTGGTTACCTAAAAATAATAAACTTCATTTTGTTTTATAGGGAGCTGATCTTTATTTGGAGTAAACTACAGCTTAAGTCTAACCCATCAAAGCAAATATTTGTAGATCAGTGCTACCATCTTCTAAGGATAGCTACAAATATACAAGTTATTTTCCCTTTCATGAAAGTCATTAGGGATGAAGTAAGTAATAGCATTTGCCTCAGACAAGTGTTTTAAAAATATAGCTATTAAATATTGTACAAATTGTGTTATATAATTGAATATTTACTTTGTTGAGAAAGAATATATAGACATTATCTAAAACATTTTTATCTACACATCTGGCATGGCAGAACAGCAAGCAGTATCCTAGCCATACTTGTGAAATTTGTGTTTTGTTATAGGGCAAGAATAAAACATGCTTTGTACACCTCAAATATGGACTAATACTAGTAATATTAGCTTATCATCTTAATAATTAGAGAAAATAGAAACGTTGTAAACATGAAGAAATTTTATTCTTACACTTTACAAACCATAGTTAATGTATACTAGTTTATAAGTTGACTTTCATAATTGTTTTATGCTATACTTCAAAGAGGGTCACTGGATTTTGTTGGAAAAAGTATTTGGTTTTTTTTTTAATGATGATTTCTTGTAGGGTTGTACAAAGCATTTGAATGAAGTGGTCTGCAACATACAGTAGTGTGAACAGAACACTATCTTTGAAACATTGAAATAGCAATCTTTTTTAGGGCTCATGCAGCTGCTTTGGAAACTGCTCCTAGCTATTGCCATTTGTGTGTGCATGAAGTACCACTTTGCTAGATACTTCCATGTGGAGATAGTTCAAGCAGTTTCCAAAGCAGCTTTGTAAGCCTTCTGAAAGACACAATTACTTCAATCACTTGAAAAGAGGTACTTTGTTCATGCTCCTGCCTGTAGCTTTAGTTTTAGTAGTAATTCTTTGTCCTTGTATTTTAAAAAATAAAATATGTTTTGTGCTTGCTTTAACTGTATTTAGGGAAGTTGATAAAAATTTAGTCTTCCACAATTGGAAGGGCTTCTTCCATTCATTAACTGGTTTTGAATCAGCTGAGTGATTTTACTGTAATAGGAAATACTATGTATATATAATTTATATTATAATAATTAAAGATGATGTGCCTTTTAAAAATCCTGCAATATTGCTAATCACTTTTCTACATTGACATAATGCAATGTAAGAATATATACTTTTAAGAATATATACTTCTATTCATGAGTTCTCTTGTATATTGGGGTTTTTGGTTTTTTTAACATACAGTCCCTACCTAAAGATACTGGGAATTTAACTTTGGAACCATTTGGTTCCAAAGCATAGGCTGTATCATTGAACTATAATTTTGAGATGTTATGAGCTTTCTTGAGAAGGAAATGCAGAAAATTCTCAATATTCTGAGTTTATTCAACATTCCTTTCTTTCTCACAGATTGGCAAGGAAGGTCTACAGATTTGTGTAGAGATATGTGGAAGTGCTCTTCAGCTAGATCTTCATGATGATCCAAAAATGAAATGTTTGATATACAAAACCATTGCTCACTTTTTGCCAAACGATTTGGAGATAGTGCGAATATGTGCTCTTTCTGTATTTTTTATTGAGCGCACCTTGCAGTCCTATTATATTGTTGAACAGCTATATAAATGTACAGATGAAGAATACAATGAACAGATAAGTTCAGTTCAGAATCGTGTACGTTTTGAGTTGCTCCCAATTTTGAAAAAGGGATTGTTTTTTGATCCAGAATTTTGGAACTTTTTGATGATCAAACAGAACTGTTTAGCGCTGCTAAGAGACAAAACCTCAGTTGAACTGAGTGAACATCCACTTGAGCGTTCTTCTGCAAATACATCAAAGACACGTCGAGCACTGCGGAGTGATCAATCTTGTATACCTGAGATAAACAATGGAGAACTAGACCATGAAGATACTTCTGAAGCACAATTGAAAAATGATGGTAATTCCAAAAAGAACCATGTAGTTCTTAATTCATCTAAAATTGATCACAGTGTACCAAAACATCGCTGCATATTATGTAACAGAGAATTTCTTGGTGGTCACATTGTGAGGCATGCCCAGGCCCATCAGAAAAAGGGTAGTTTCTCATGTGTAATGTGCTGTAGAAAATTCAGGCAAAAAGGTTTAATGCTTAAGCACTTAAAGAATCACATTAAGAAAATGACACGGCATCATTTGACTGTTACTTGTGTTGAAAAAGAAACTTGTGATGTAAATGAAATGAACTGTTCTAGTGCTGATGTCTCTCTTCAAAATGGGGACTTGGAAAATGCTAAAGAAAATGAAGTAGAGCTAGTCATTCCAAGTACTAATCAGGAAATGCAGAATTCTGAATTTGCACTGGATGTAACCAAAAATCATGTTAGTTGCCAGGATAATGTTGTTGAAAATGGTAGTTGTGATAACTATTCAAATAACATTCCTGAGGCAGAAATTAAAGAGGGATCACCAGAAAACAGCCTGAATAGAGAACTCCCTATACTCCACAAAGTAAATGGCGTGCTCTGTCCTCAAAATGATTTGGATCACACAAGTAACTTCAAGTGTCCTGCTGATGGATGTATTAGAGTCTTTAAAAAAATACGGTTTCTGAATAAGCATGCACGTAAAGCTCATCCTTCTGATCTGAATGTGCAAGAGCATATAATGAAATGGAATAATGGAAAATGTCGGTTTTGTCAGAGAAAATTTTTGGATTCTCATCATTTTATTGATCATCTGAAACAACATGTTTATCCAAATGTATATTTTTGTTTGCATTTTAACTGTAATCAGAGATTTAAGCTGTCCACTGAGCTTGCAGAACATATGAAAAGTCATACTGAGTTTAAAGCTCAGTGCAACTTTGCAGAGTGCTATAAACTTTTTGATGACATTTCATTGTTGTATGAGCATGAAGCTCAACATTATTTAAACAAAGCAAATCCTTCTGAAGTCAGTGAAAATACTTCTTCAGTTGTTGTTTTGGAATCCCAGTGTAGTATTCAAGAAAAAGGAGGTGGTAGTGGTGAAAAGGAGGGTGTAATAGACTTACCAATTCCCACTTGGAAAGCAAGGAAAGATTCCTTAGAACCAAAGACTTATATCCAGAGTGAGAAAAAAATAAATAATCTAATCCAGAATGGGAATGAAAATGCATTTGGTGGTACTGTCACAGTTGTGAACTTAATAGACCAAAAGATACCTGCAGTAGAGCCAAATTTAGAAAGCTGTAAACTTAATGATCAGCTAGTCAATGGGCATGGTGAACTGGAACAAACCACAGCTACACTGGATACTGATTTGGAAAAAATGAGTGCCAATACTAGGACAGAAAATGGATCTCTTCTACCTGTTCTGCAGAACTGTACGGATATACCACCTAATAGTCTTGCTGCAGTCTCTCAGTCACTTTCTAAACCAAATCAGATAACAGAAAATACGTCATATGGCTTAATTTTAACAAGGCCTTACATTAGACCATTGCCTCCGAGTTATCTTGATGAACGATATATTAGCATGCCAAAACGAAGAAAAACTTTGACTGATAAAGCAGATGCACATTCAGAGCAAGGCAAAACGTGTAGCAAATCAGAGAGATTAAGATGCAGCAAATGTTTGACCACCTACTGTAACTCAGAAGCACTTCAGCTTCATCTTGCACAAAAGAAGTGTCGGACACTTTTTGGATTCGATTCAGATGATGAAAGTAAGTTTTACAGTTCTACTAAGTATAACCTTAGGTATCTGTACAGTGATAAAATGTTAAACAAGAGTTTTGAAGATGCAGTTGTTGAATACATCAGTGATACATACACTGATAGAGAACAGATTCCAAAAAGATAAGGTTAACAAATGTAATAAAACTATATTACATATAATAGTAAATAGTAGCATATAGATTTGTTTTAGGAACTATTTGTAGCCCAATAGTAATGAAAAAGTACTATATTGTAGATAGAATTTAGCTAGTTTTGACAGCAGTTATTGTGCAATGTTCTTGAAACCATTATTTGACCTGATGAAATTATGAAACTTACTCTGTAGTGCTTCAGTTTTTTCATGAAGGGTTCAGAGAAAAATGATAGCTAACTACCATTTTATATTCTCTATGCTAGCATTTATTTTGCTTCATCTCACTTTTGTTTAGGAAAAATAAATGACTGAATCCCAGTATGATACCAGACTCCAAAATACTAACCAACATAATCTCTTTTTGCAGGTGCCTGAGCAAATGTTGTATAAAGACTTCTCCGTTTGAGGAGTGGTGATGGAACACTACAATATTGTGCATCAACCTGCTTTTCCCTTCTTGGCCTTAATTATAAAGAAGTCTAAAATTACTAAAGAAAGTCATGACCTTTTTGAGAATTAAAGCACACGGGTGACAACTAAGTGATAGTAGGAGCTGTGCAGTATTAGCATCCAGAAAACAAACTGTGTTAAAAACCCCCAAAGTACCAGTTATCTAAAAGCCACACGTTCTTGCGTAGTTCCATTCTTAAGTAAATTCACTGGGTGGCTGTATACAGAGTAGGTTTCATGCTGACTGATAACAATTGCTCTAGAGAAAAATGCACGTGGGACATGCCTCTTTCTGATTCTGTATGTTCAAAGGAAGCCATTCTATATGATAAAACTAGTTTGAGTCACATTCAATGTTGCTGTGCATTAAAATCTGATCAGTTAAAATCGATCCATTTATAGAGGTTGACTCTTCTTGTGATGGTATATTTTGTACCTTGAAAATGGAACTGATAAATGTAAGAAATAATCAGTGCTGGGCAGTGTATCTTAATAAATGTTTTAAGGCATACAATAAGAGCTAAAGTATGTCTTTGGTATTTCCAAATTCAAATATTAAACTATATTCAAATGCACCAAAGTTTATTTTTTCAACACCTGATTCATGATGTATGCATAGATAGAATTCAGTCATAGCAAGAAATAGCAAATCCACACAGTTACAATATTTGGTGTCATAAAGCAGTTTTAGGTTCAATAGCAAATTCACATGACTAGAATTTAACTGAATTCAGCTGGTGTATAAAACTTAATTTTAAGCATAATCTTTCTTGGGTTGTTTGCATGGCTTATACCTGTTAAAAGCTAATTTTGTATTTAAAATGAATAAAAAAGGGGAGTCGCACATGATTTAAATGCACATTAGGATACTAGGAATAAAACTACTTTATATTCATATTGTATCAATATTGAAAGGTCACACTGAATTTTCTTTATGAAACGATTGCGTTCTTAAGAAATCCATATAAAAGCTATCGTGACAGTGCATGCTTTGAAAATAATTCAGAAGTAGTACTTTGAGCATAGAATCTCTGCTGTTCATTAAACAGTCCTTTTGTCAGGCTTCCATGCAAGTACAACATAGTGAGGTTCAAAGCATTTCTGAATCATTTTTTAAAGTGAGCATAGATCTAAAATCCCTTGACAAACTTAAGCAGTAAAAAATAAATTGCTTTTTTTATCTGAATATCAATAAAATTATTTGCACTGTGCCTTGAAAAATTAAGCTTTAAACTTCTTACTCTTAAGTTAATACATATATAGGCAGAGTATTCTAATCCCAAAATATCCAAGAAACCCGTTTCTTTAAAAACAATGCTGTACAAATATTCATCATGAAAAATAACATTAAGAACTCTTCTTGCAGATCATTGAGGTTTGAAAATATTCAGGATGGGATTACAAATTTTCAAAAATGGTAAGGTTATTTGAGCTATTGCGCTATATTTTCAATGCAATCCTACACATTTCTACTCCAAAGTCAGTCCCATTGAGTTTAATGGTGCTTACTCTCAGGTAAGTGAGTAGATTTAAAAAAAAAAATCAGGTAGCTTATTCATAGAGAATAAGAACATTTCAGTGTTCTTGTTAAAAATGAAACCATTTTTCCTCAAGAAACAAGTATGAAACTGTATGCTTGAAATATATTAAATTATATTTCCAACCACTTTTAGATCAGTCCTGATGTCTAGGCACCAAATGATACTTTTAATAACTACACAGTTGAAGCTGTGCTTGACTGTGCTAAATATCAAAGGTTATTCTTGAAGCAATTCAAATTATAACATGAAGAGCAGACTTTTTTCAATTTACTTTTGTAAGTCATGCAAAATTGCACAAATGGTACCTAAGTTCTCTACTTTTGAGATAATTAAAAATCCAAAATTATATATTTTGTAATATATTTGTACCTCTTACTATAGGAGATTTTATTAAAAATATTTTAATACTTTATATTATTAAATGGGAGTTATTGGCAAATCTCAATCTTCAACTGTGTCTTAATTGGAATTTACTTAATTTGGTCAGATTATAGGTTTTCCTTGTACAGGAGTCCTAAAATTGGGGGTTTGAAACAACATGTTTTAATATATCATTACATGAAACTGAGTTTCTTCAAAAATAAAACACATTGATTTTCTGTAGTGCTAATATTCTGGGACCTCAGTATGTAGTAGCAGTCTTATAGCCAGTGTTTCATTTCTTAATCTGCATTAGGGGTGATGATTTAAAGACATTGTTGTGCTAAGCCTGACTCGTTATTACATGGCACAACTCTGCAATTTTCATAGTGACAATATAAAATGGTTTCCTATTACTTTCTTCCATATTTCTTTGACTAGCTGGACCTGGAATTCTCTGTTGATTTGCCATTCAACTGATATAGTCTGACTCAGTTTATAATCCAAGCCCAAGTATGCCTGGTACTGACACCTGCTGAGATGGATAATTAGTGCTGTGGGTATAAATCTGTAGATCTGTTTCAGTGGAATTTGAAATTAAAATAATGGTTGGCTTCCAATTAGTATTTACTTCAGTGGAATCACATTTGTCATCCAAGCAGATTTTCACTGCAGCCTCTTATAGAACAGATGGGGATAAAGATTGAAGAGGGCAGGTTACGAAGGGCATACAGTATTTGCAGCATTAGATATCACCCATTACTTTGTTTGTTTAGTTTTAAACATTGTGTAATCAGTTTGCTTTAAAATATGTCCATGATATATATTCCCCCATTTGTGTATATTTTCCTGTGATTATATTTCAGTATACCCTGAGCTGGGTTTTAATTTTCTAGAAACGAAGAGCATTAGCTTTTCCACCAATTTTAATTTCAGTGTCTGTATGCACTCCTGACTTACAGGCATCAGCATCTAAGTATCCAGACTTTTGGCTGCATTTGAGCCTTTCTCAGGAATACATTCCATTTCAAATTAACTCCATATAATGTAACATCGTAAATATTTCGTATAAATCTGAAAGGGAAGATTAGCCTTCTATAAAATGTTCAGTTTTCCACTTGCTATGTTATCACTTTTAATGGAAAACTCTTAAGTGGAATTTTAAGGTATATGATCTGATCTGATGTGCTTTGCCACCAAACAAATGTTTAGGAGAATCATACAAATTATAACACTGCCTTTCAGATACTGTACTAACATTTGATGTGTCAGTTATCCTAAAATGGATTTGTAACTTTATTTCAAGGTATTCCCAATTTGCTCTTACACACTAGGAATTAGTAATTAAATCAGAGGGGCCTAATTCCATAATCCAAAGATACACATTTTTGGAAAACCTGTTGACTCTGCCCTTGGTAAGTGATTAGTATTTTGAGCTCCCACCAGCTTTTAAAGCAGGATACTGTTTGTTTCTCCTTGGCCAGGAGAAGAGTTACAATGGTGACTTCAATCAATCACTTGTTTGTCATGAACAAGTTTTGATTATTGCAAGAAATAGTTAAGGCTCTCTTCTAGTAAATTAGAGCTGGTATTGATGTTGCAAAAGTGGTATTTCTCAAATGGCTTGTGTAATGTCCCCTTATCTCCAGTCAGGAATGAGAAGACACAAAGACAGCAATAGTCATTGTGAAGTGCTTAGTGGACCCAATTGAAAATTTGCTATGATGGGTGCTAAGGTTCCCCTCCCCCCTCTCTCCATAACCCTGCTACTAGAAGAATATAATGGTGCCCACAGCCAGAACAATACTACTGTTGTATTTAAGATTATGTCATCTGGTCTGATGATTAAAGTTTAGAAGCTAAATTATTGCTTTGATATTGCCCAATGTTTTGCCAGCTAATAAACACTTGGTATGCTGCTCACTTAATCTCCCTATTGGATAAAGAAATTGCATGGCTGACAAGTGTTTTCTAACCAGATGCCAGATATCTAAATAAGACAAAATATAGGAAAAAATATACTACACTAATTTCAAGCATCTCCATTAAATCTGACTCAAGCTAGATACAATTATTAGTTTTTCTGATTTTTAGAATAGCCTGTAGTGCCTACAATGGATCCTCCACTACCCGAAATATTGACAGTGTTTCCCAAGTCATAGCCTTTTTAAGACTTGAAATACTCTTAAAGGATGCCTCAAACTTGTTTATCCATTTGGTTTGTCACACGCTTTGTGGATTCTTAGACATGTAAAATCAAATATTGGTCTGTGGATAACTTATCTCTGCCATCTATTTTGTAGAACAAATTTGAAATGCTTATTGTGGGAAAGGTCACTGGTACTTTGGTCTAGCCATATTCAATTAAACATCTAGAAATTGTATATTTTGAATCATGTAGAACAGGATTCAGCAATTCTCCTTGTTTAATGCCAAGGTGTAGGATGAAATAAAGGATTTTTTAATTTATTTTGCACTGTATAACATCTTGATTAAATGCAGTGTGTCTATTTTTGAACTCTTATGTTTAATTTGTAAAAAACGATTACAGGTTTAACAAGTAAGGAAATTTGTGCTTCCTTCTTGATGGTTAAATTATTTTATTCTGCATTTTATACGAGTACAAATTAAAACTGAGCCATCAAACTGCAATAAATCAACAGTAGTGTTTCATTTAAATTTTTTTGTATTGTAAATAGAATTGTTCAATAAAATGTTATTGTTCAATAAAATATTAAAGATATGTTGGAATTTTGAGAAAACACTTGATTCTGTTAGTTGCAATATTGCTATACAGCAGCTAGCAAGACATTTTGTATAGCTTTAATACAAAACTATCCTGAAGCAGATGACACTGTTAAAGTAAACAAGCACTAACACTCTTGAATGCACAATATGGTAACAGATGAAAAACTGCAGAGCATAGAGTGGCAAACAATGTGAACTGTTAAGTTTTCTTTGGGGCTAAAAGTTCTAGTTACAGCCTGGTGGGAAAAAAAAAAAACTAAAAGATTCTGAGCTCGGAAATGGATTTTGAGAACCCAAACTGAATCATGTTCTTGTACTAAACTTTTACCCTCTTCTTTCTTCTGATTGGTGTCTTTTGAGGTGAGGAGCTATTTCCTTTTCTATTAAATCATTGGGAGTTAGACATCTTCCTGCGAATCATTCACACGACTAATCTGCAGTGAAAGAATCTATTTCGTTTTTCACTTTGTATCCTGAAGTTTCTTTTATTAAACTATTGGCCTTATGACTCATCTTTGGGATGTTATATATTTCCAAACCATTTGTGCGTGTTACCCGCTTAGTCCCACCATTACATTCTTGTATTTGAGAAAATGTATGTTTATAATAATTATTTTATGCTTTTGATATGGCATTGGAGAATGCAAATCTAACTTGGAAATAGAGACAGCATTACCCCCTTGTTCTTTTAATGAATCTTCCAATTATTATCACTAGATATTTTGATGTAATTTAATGTCTTCATATTTGACATGGTTCTCCAAGAATCTAGAAATAACTTGCAGTCAAAAAGAAAGCTGAATAGAAGAGCCTCTGTTCAAAAGAAGAAGAAGAAAACCGGTCGCTATTCAAAAATCTTGTTGAGGGGGAATACACGCGCGCGCGCACGTTTTGTAGGTTAATTTTATGGGGAATTTAGTACCAAAACAAACTTAGACAAACATGTAACAAACAGCTACATACATTAATTCGAGAAAGTAATCTATAAAACTAATTGTAAAAACGAAAAACACGGGCTAGAAAAAAGCTTGCTTGTTTTGCCAACACCAGAGCCGGTTCCCAGAGAACTGCCTTTATTAACAGTTCTCCCTTGCAGAACAGCTGAAGTACTGATGTTAATCAAAAAAGATTTCACGGAGACCATAAGAGAGCATCCAGTCCAATCGACGGAACTACAGAGACCGCTTCTGTTCCAAGCCGAACAGCCTTAAACCGCACTCTCCACGTCGCATTACGAAAGCGGGGTGGGGGGAGGCGTAAGACATAACAGGCGGAAGTGGCGCTGTTTTGCCCCGCGTCTCTCGGTTGCCAAGGTTTCCGAGAGGTACTCCAGTGTGGGCGCCGGGGTTGGTCTGTGCTTCCCGTCTCGCGCTCGAAGAAGCAACGCCCCCACCATCACCATGGCTTCGGCTGGGGCGGGGATGACCGAGCGCGAGCGGGACGGCTGCCGGGAGCTGTTGGAACTGCTCCAGACCGACGATCTGCTGGCGCTAACGGACACGGTGACCAGCCGCCTCGTGCAGCCCAACAACCGCCAAGGTAAGTTAAGAGCTAGAAGAACTCGGTGTCCTGATGAGAGGCTGAAGAAGGCATTTTGGGCCTCCACTGGAAAATACTTTTTGGCTTGAGATTCATAACCCAGCCTCGTATTTCTTCGTGGCCACTTGGCGCCGACCTCTTCCTTACCAAAATGGGATATTAGTTTCCTCTCCCCCTTACAGGTCTAGGGTGCAGTTCTTCAGGTATACCAGAAATATTTGGGCCTGCGATATCCTTGAGCTGCATTCACACGTGATGTTTCTCTCCCTCCCACTACTGGAGAGGGACAGGTGTTTTGCCATAGAAATCACCCATTAACAGATCCCTGGACTGAAAATACAGTAGTTTTAAAGCTGACACCAGGCCCTGTGGCTTCTATTCCTTCTATTCAAGTGTCTCTTTAAAAACCTTTGAAGAAAGAGTGGTGGCAAACAGCAGCTGATGTGGAACAAACAGTTCTTTATTTGATATCCAATTTCTGGCCATTATGCTTAGCTGTAATTTATGGAAAATATATGATTCTCTATATTTTTGAAGCACTATTTGCCTAGTATTGTGCTATGGGTACAATACTAAAATGCCCACATCTTTTCCAAAAATGTTTTAAAAATAACGTTTTTGGAACTGGTGTTCCTCTTCTCAATATGAAAAGATTCTTAAAAGTACTGTGACAGGAATTCAGGAATCTGGAGACAATTTATCATTTTGCTATGACAAGTATTTCCTTTTAAAAAAGAAACTGTTGGAATAAAAATAAGTATATCTTACACAGAACTGTAAATTGCAGTAGTTTTCCTAGCCTGCTACAGAGAAAAAAATCAATGTCAACAAAACTATTAGCTGTACATTTGTTTGTGATCTGTTTTTCCTTGTGGTCTTCTGACAAAATGTGTTTCATAATTAAATATATCAGCAGATTAAATTAGTGTATGTATCATCCCAGTATAAAACAGTTTCTTATTTTGCTAAGATAGTTTTCCATTTATCTATAAACAGTAATATGTCCCAGATATAAAGCAAACCATTATGATAAAATCATTTTATGCTCTCTATTGTTACTTGACTGATGATTTCATACAGCTGCATAAGTAATAGTGGCACATCTATATGTTAAAGTCTGTAACTTATACGTAAATTGAAATTAAAATATTTGAGTAATATTAAAGTGAGTGGTATTCATGACCCTGCAATCTTTGAGAACCTTCTAAAATTCTATTTAATAATAAAATTTGAAAATGCGCCAGTTTCATTCAGTTTTCTTCTGATTGCCAGGGTAGCAGAAATGTCAGTTTCCAATCTTTCTTTACATCCCAAAGAAAACTTGTTAAAGTGTTCTGCTCACATTAACAGTGTGTTCTACTAGTCTATATTTCAGAATACACCAAATAAAGTAATAGGCTAATGTGCATAATAGTAGAAATGGGTGACTCACTAGAGGCAATTTTCAGAAGTTTGTGAAAATGATAATATGGTATAAAAATAAAGGGTCAGAAGAAGTAGAAATTGCTAATAAGGATTCAGAGTAATATGTAATGGTTATTTAAAATGTTTAATGAAGCATACACCTTAATCTAGCCCCCCTTTTTTCCTAAAAAGTAGTACTATAATTGACTGTTTTAAGTTAAGAATTACAATGCACTCAGAATGTAGGAAGTTGTTTTATTTGTGTCACATCATTGCCTGTCTAACCCAATATTGTCTGCATTGATTGGAAGTGGCTCCCCAGAGGTTCAGTCAAGAGTTTTTCTGAATGGAAAAAAAAAAAAAGCTACAGAGTTATGGATTATGAGTGGCGGGTTTGTTTTTTTTTATTGTTATTAGATGGGGAGTTCTTTTTAACGTGTTTACATAAT